TAAAGCTTGAGGAGCTTTAATAAAAACATTTAAATTATCTTGTCATGGGGAAGGTTGGTTCACTGACAAATGCGCGCTCGACAAAAGCGCGCCGACAAAACCGCGGAGAGAAAAGACCGAGGTCGAAATCGCGCCCACAGAAGCGCGCCGATATATGCGCACCGACGAAAGCGCGCCATCAAGAAACAACGTGAAAACAACGTAAGAACGCTAACCCTAACCCTTATCCTTACCTTAACCCTAATCGCGCTTTCGTCGGCGCGCAATTATGACGTGCTTCTGTGGGCACGATTTCAACCTCACTCTTTTCTCGCCATGGTTTTATCAGAGCGCTTTTGTCGGGCGCGCATTTGACGGGGAAGGTTATAGAGCCAACAGAAACAAGAAAAAGGGTAGTATTTCATACACTGTAACTTGTGTGCAAAAGTTTGGGCAGAAGCTCTACTTGAATGCCCCTTTTTCTAAGAGGTAAGTATTATCCAATTTATCCTGCACTACAGGTAGTCCTCAACTTACAACAGTTTATTTAGTGACTGTTTGAAGTTACGACACTGAAAAAAGTGACTTATGACCATTTTTCATATTTATGACTGTTGCAGCACCCCCATGATTTACATTCAGATGCTTGACAACTCACAATTATGACAATTGTAGTGTCCCAGAGCAATGGGATCTGCTTTTGCGACCTTCTGACAAGCAAAATCAGATTCATTTAACAACCATGTCCCCAATTTAAGAACCGCTGTGGTCCACTTAACAAACGTGGCGAGAAAAGTCATAAAATGGGGCAAAGCTCACTCAACAAATGACTCACTGAACATAAAATTTTGGGCTCAATTGTGGTTGCAAAGTGAGGACTACATTCTATTTAATCAAAACATTCTGTTTCAATTATCCCTCTCTCGGTGAATATAAGAGCTAATGTGGCAGATTCTCAGAATGGTGTATGAAGATGCTCAGATATTAGCAAATAACTGCTAACTGCAAAATACTGCACGTTTCTACTATAGTGCTTTGAAAAACTGTGGGTTAATAGATCACACACATAACTAATGTAGCTCGTAATGTCAATATTTACATTACATCACTAGCATTTCGTATCTTCTCTCAGCTAACTTGTTCCAGTTGGATTTTCTTTCTCATTTGTTCTGCATTGAAGAGCCTGTCAAGAAATAATGTAATTAGACCATTGCAAATAAGATCACACACTGTTCATAGCGGGCAGTTACTGATCTAATTAAAAGATTTACCTTTTCATTCATTTATCAAATTAGTTTCTAAACATTTATAACATTTATATACCTAGAGAAGCAAAAGATGGACTTCAGAAATTTTCTATATTACTTGGAGGAGTGTTATATAAAAATATCAGTTAGAAATAAATTTAATTCACAAAATAAGATTTGTTCTGAACTACTTTGAGATACAATTGTAAGGAATGCACTTTGCATCAAATTTCATTGTTGCAAAATTTCCAGGTTTTGAACTCTGCCACCAAAACAATCACTAAGACGTCTTATTGATCTAAGCCCAATTTCCTTCCAATCTTTTAATGTTATTTGCAGATTTCAAGGGAGAACAATTGGGTTATGGAAAAAGCATAAGAAGTCACTCTTCCAATAGACCGTTTTTCCTGATCTTTAAAGCACTTTAGAAGGACTAGTATGATAGCAGCTAAATTAGCTAAATAATTAGCTAATTTAAAATAAAATAAAAAATCCCAACTAGTTTTATAATTTTATGTGGCAATGTTTTAATGCTTAGAATGGACTGACACACTTCAACAAACAAAAAATTTATAGTTCTGCAAATTGTTTATAATAGAAGACTTTGATACTGGGCAACTCAACACTTCAACAAACAAAAAATTTATAGTTCTGCGAATTGTTTATAATAGAAGACTTTGATACTGGGCAACTCAAAAGCCTTCAGATCTGGAAGTGTCTTTGTTTAGTTAAGTAAATGACCCTGAGGCCATTTCCCTCTTCTTGTAAAGCATAGGCTCTTGAACATAGCATTTTATTCCTTTATCTCACTTTCCCATCCAGCGTATTCCAAGGAAATAAGGACATTGCCTATTAAAAATAAAAGCCTAGGCGTCACTCAAGAAAATATTGATAGCAGCTACTTCCTAGAAAGGGAATCCACATTCCTGTGTCTCAGATGGGATCTTTGTGATGGAGGTGTGGTTGGAGAGTATATAGCAACATAAAATTTCCTTTGATTTTTTTTATTTTTATTTTTAAACATACAAATGCACAAACATAGGCACAGACTACATTTATACCACACACTGGACTTCGTGTTCCTTCTTATAGCAGTTTAAAATGGGTACATACATTCATCTTTACAATGTTTTCCCCACCCCTCCTAATATGTTTCACTTAAATTTCACAATTTTTAACCCGGACATTTCCTTTTGTTGACCTCGAGTTGCCGGCAGGAACACCGCGGACATATGTTCGCGGGGGAGCTGATGAGGCTGCAACAGAGGGGAGGGGAGAAAGAGGCTGTGGGAATGCGATTCCCCCGTTTCCACTATGGGGCAGCTGGCTAGCCGGAGGTTCATAATCCCGCTCCCTTCCTTGGGAAGCGGATGGAAATTTTCTCCACCATCTTCTCTCTCTCTCCCCCCACCTACTTCCCAGCTTTTGGTGAAACTCTTGTTGAAAGAAATGTCCTTCTGGGTTCAGCTTCAAGTGGGGAAAAAGACACTGGAGACATGGAGGCTGCTTGGAAAGATGGTTTTAAT